CTGTTAGGAGGTTTCTCCTTAATTCCAGGTTGCTTCTCTCCTTGATCAGTTTCCATCCATTGTTTCTTGTCCTGCTTCTGGTGCTTTGGAAAATAATCTGATCCCCTCTTCGTGTTGTTGTTGTTGTTAGTTGCGAAGTTGTGTCCGACCCATCGCGACCCCATGGACAACGTTCCTCCAGGCCTTCCTGTCCTCTACCATCTTCTGGAGTCCATTTAAGCTGACGCCTCCTGCCTCAGTGACTCCATCCAGCCACCTCATTATTCTCTGTCGTCCCCTTCTTCTCTTGCCCTCCATCTTTCCCAGCATCAGGCTCTTCTCCAGTGAGTCCTTCCTTCTCATTAGGTGGCCAAAGTCCTTGAGTTTCAACTTCAGGAGCTGGCCTTCTCAAGAGCAGTCAGGGTTGATCTCCTCCAGGACTGACTGGTTGGATCGCCTTGCAGTCCAAGGGACTCGCAGGAGTCTTCTCCAGCACCAGAGTTCAAAGGCCTCCATTCTTTGGCGTTCAGCCTTTCTTATGGTCCAACTTTCACAGCCATACATTGCAACTGGGAAAACCATGGCCTGGACTATACGCGCTTCTGTTGGCAGGGTGACGTCTCTGCTTTTTAGTAGGCTGTCTAGATTTGCCATAGCTTTCCTCCTGGAAGGCTGCTATCATGTCCCCCCTCGTCCTTCTTTTCATTAAACCAAACACCACTTCTGGAGGCAAGCTGTTCCACTGGTTCTAACAATTTCTCCTTAGTTCCAGGTTGCTTCCCTCCTTGATCAATTTCCATCCGTTGTTTCTTCTCCTATCCTCAGGTGCTTTGGAGAATAGTTTGACCCTCTCTTCTTCTTTATGGCAGCCCCTCAAATACTGGAATGCTGCTATCCTGTCGCCCCTGGTCCTTCTTTTCTCTAGACTGGCCATACCCAATTCCTGCAACTGTCTTTCATATGTCTAAGTCTCCAGGCCTTTGATCATCTTAGTTACTCTTCTCCAAAAGAAACCCAGAAATTTCCTTTGAGAGAACAACCCCAGAGAGACAAAACCAAAGGGGTCCCTGGGAGAAAGGTCTTGGCCCTCATCCCGTCCTCCCTACCCAAGATTACTTTGACAAGCCGAGATTAATTTGTCTAGTGGGGCTAACCTGGCTGGAACCGAATGAAAGGCTTAAAACTTCACCTTCTTCAGGAAGAGGTTTATGCCTGACAGACAGATCTTGGCTAGCTGACTAGAAGGATGGGAGCCCATCAAAGTCTCTTGCAGACCTCGGAGTCCTAGTGGACAATCCCTTAGATAGGAGCCAGCCGCCTGCTGCAGCTGCCAAAAAGGCCAACACAGTGCTGGGATGCATTAACAGAGGGAGAGAATCAAGATCACGTGAAGTGTTAATACCACTTTACAAGGCCTTGGTAAGGCCACCCTTGGAATACTGCATCCATTTTTGGTCACAGCGATGTAAAAAAGATGTTGAGACTCTAGAAAGAGTACAGAGAAGAGCAACAAAGATGATCAGGGGACTGGAGGCTAAAACATATAAGGAACGGTTGTTCCAATTGGGTATGTCCAGTTTAATGAAAAGAAGGACCAGGGTAGACAGGATAGCAGTCTTCCAATATCTCAGGGGCTGCCCCAAAGAAGAGGGAGTCAAGCTATTCTCCAAAGGACTTGAAGGCAGGACAAGAAGCAACGGATGGAAACTAATCAAGGAGAGAAGCAACCTAGAACTAAGGAGAAACTTCCTGACAGTGAGAACAATGAACCAATGGAACAACCTACCTGCGTCCAGAAGTGGTGAATGCTCCAACACCGGAAGCTTTTAAGGAGAGACTGGACAGCCACTTGTCCGAAATGGTGTAGGGTTTCCTGCCTGAGCAGGGGGTTGGACTAGATGACCTCCAAGGTCCCTTCCAACTATTACTACTATTACTATTATTATTATTACATACCCCTTTTCTGGATCCTGTCTCCTTCGTGTCAGCCAGGCCCCCAAGAAAGTAAGAAGGGGGGGGGGACACAAGGGCAAAAAATGTCTCTTGTTTTTTTTAAAGGCAGGCAAGAATGAGAGAAGAGAGCAAATATCGACCACAGCTGGCTGACTGGCTGGCTCCAAAGCAAACATCTGGATGCAATTCCGAATGACAAGATTACGGAGAGCTGGCAGCCTGACAGGCTTCTGTGGGAGAGGGAAATTTTTATCACCCCTGAAATGAGCTTGCCGGAATCAAAGGCTTGTGGGGGACTTCCTTCCTCTCTTTGCGTGCAGGAGGGGAGGGGATCTCTGGGAAGCTGTCAGCCCAGCTACTTTTTCAGAGGCAAACATCTGGCAACATCAGGGCCGGCTGTTCAGGGCTTTGTTGAGTTCCTATGGCTACCACCAAGACTGAAATTAGATTAATAATTGAGTGGGGATAGGGATAGGGAGTGGGATGGGATGGAATACAGAATACAGAATAGAATAGAATAGAATAGAATAGAATAGAATAGAATAGAATAGAATAGAATAGAATAGAATAGAATAGAATAGAATAGAATAGAATATAGGATAGAATAGAATAACGGAACAGACCTTGGAGGTCATCTAGTCCAACCGCCTGCTCAGGCCAGGAGACAGTGTACCATTCCAGACAAATGGCTGTCCAGTCTCTTCTTAAAAACTTCCAGGGTTGGAGAATTCACAACTTCTGGAGGCAGGTGGTTCCACTGGTTAATTGTTCTCACGGTCAGGAAGTTTCTCCTTAGTTCCAGGTTGCTTCTCTCCTTGATGAGTTTCCATCCGTTGCTTCTTGTCCTGCCTTCAGGCGCTTTGGAGAATAGCTTGACTCCCTCTTTTTGGGGGCAGCCCCTGAGATATTGGAAGACTGCTATCCTGTCCCCCCTCGTCCTTCTCTTTGTTAAACTAGACCTACCCAATTCCAGCAACCATTCCTTGTATGTTTTAACAATCAAGAAGCAAACAATACCCCAAACAAGCTAGCAGTAAACAGCCCAATCGAGGGGCCACTGAGACCACTCCCACCAACATTGCTGGGGCAAGCCACCGTATCTAAGGAGAAAGTAGACCCCTCACTTCTAATACTGATGATGTTACCTAGTTGGGTAATGAAATGTCTACAAGAAAACCACCCAGCTCAGAGAACATAAAGGACCCCACAGTCTTTTTCCTCCTCCTCCTCCTCCTCCTCCTCCTCCTCCTCCTCCTCCTCCTCCTCCTCCTCCTCCTCCTGCTGTCAACCCCATTCTCTTTAGCACTGATGATGTTACCTAGTTGGGTCATGAAACGTCTGCAAGGAAACCACCAAGGACCCCACAGTACTCTTCCTCCTCCTCCTCCTCCTTCTCCTCCTCCTCCTCCTCCTCCCTGCCCACCCCACTCGCTTCTAGCACTGATGATGTTACCTAGTTGGGTCAGGAAACGTCTGCAAGAAATCCCCCCCCCCAGCTCAGAGAATTCCGTACCTCAACCCTGAGCAGCAAATATTCTCTCCTCTGTTAATTCCACCAGCCCAAAAGAGCAGAGCAAACCCACACTTTTAGCAACGGCAAACATTCCCGGCTCCAAAGCTCTACAGCTAGTCCTCAGTTTATGGCCCTAATTGAGCTCTCAAGCCCTTGCGGTCGTTCAGTCAAGGCATCAAGTCACCGGACCCGATTTTTTCCATTTTATTTTATTTTGCAACGGTGATTGAGTGTGAACGCCACAAGCCAATCCCTTTCCCACTCTCACGGGTATTTTTGCCAGAAAGTGGAAGTAAACAGACCCCCCCCCAAAAAAGTATCCTAAATTGCAGTCACATGACTACGGGACCCTGCAAACAGGGTAACCCATTGCCCACTGCCCAAAACGTGGTCCTGGGGGTGTGTGGGTGTGGGTGTATGGCTGCTGTAACTTCAAAAATGGATTGTAAGTAGCTTTTGAGGAGTGCAGGTCCGTCATAAACTTGTTCGTTAAATGACCGGTCGTAAATCGAGGCTTACCTCTGTCGTTATGGAAGACGGTCTGCCATAAACCTCGCTCCGTTTCAACCATTAAACCACCCCCCCTCCTGAGGTTCCCACCCCACCAGAAGCCCAACATCCATTTTCACCCTGAACTGATCCAGGTTCAAAACTCTGGAGCAGTCTTTCTCAAACATGACAACTTTAAAGGTGGGTGGTCTTCAACTCCCAGAATTCCTCAGCCAGTTACGACTCGGGAGGCCAGACCTCTTCCTGGCTAGGGAATTCTGGGAGTTGACAGGCTGGCTTGGAATGCTAGGAGTTAAAAACCGACACACAATAAAGCCTGCTGGCTGGGAATTCTGGGAATGGAAGCCCATGCCTCTTAAAGCCTGCTGGCTGGGGAATTCTGGGAATGGAAGCCTATGAAAGCCTGCTGGCTGGGGAATTCTGGGAATGGAAGCCTATGCATCTTAAAGCCTGCTGGCTGGGAATTCTGGGAATGGAAGCCTATGCATCTTAAAGCCTATTACCTGGGAATTCTGGGAATGAAAGCCTATGCATCTTAAAGCCTGCTGCCTGGGGAATTCTGGGAATGGAATTCTATGCATTTTAAAGCCTATTACCTGGGAATTCTGGGAATGGAAGCCTATGCATCTTAAAGCCTGCTGGCTGGGAATCCTGGGAATGGAAGCCTATGCATCTTAAAGCCTGCTGGCTGAGAATTCTGGGAATGGGAGCCCATGCATCTTAAAGCCTGCTGGCTGGGAATTCTGGGAATGGGAGCCCATGCATCTTAAAGCCTATTGCCTGGGAATTCTGGGAATGGGAGCCCATGCATCTTAAAGCCTGCTGGCTGGGAATTCTGGGAATGGGAGCCCATGCATCTTAAAGCCTATTGTCTGGGAATTCTGGGAATGGAAGCCTATGCATCTTAAAGCCTGCTGGCTGGGAATTCTGGGAATGGAAGCCTATGCATCTTAAAGTCTATTGCCTGGGAATTCTGGGAGTTAAGGTCCTCACTTCTTCAAGCCACCACGGTTGAGAAAGACTACTCTTGAGGGAGGCTGCTCACCTGTAGTGAAGCCGTTGTCCATCCGAGCTGTAGTCTCGGTAGAGCTCGTATTCCTTCTCAAAAACTCCGGGTGGTGAGGAGCTGTGCAGAAGAGTCAGGAAAAGCAAAGGATTAAAGCAAGAACGAAGGGATTTCACACATGTAACCTGGACATTGCTCAATTGTTGCAACAATGCAATGCTTTCTTCAATTTTGCCTAAGGGTTTGCAGCAAGGGGAAGGTAACCCACTGCAACCAAGCAAACAGACACTGATTTCCACGGATAGCTAGAACTGCAGAAAAAAAACCATTGCCCCCAGCCTGCCTTCCACTGAGGACCTGTACACTGCAGGAGCCAGAAAAGAGGGCTGAGAAAATATCTATAGACCCCTCTCCTGGACACAAACTGTTCCAACATCTTCCCACAAGACGACGCTATAAAGGCGTTGCATGTCGAAACAATTAAACACAAATATAGTTTTTCCCACATGCCATCGCTTTGTTAAATACATAATTCCCACAATATTGGCAAACTACCTGTATGAATAGAGTAGAGTAGAGTAGAGTAGAGTAGAGTAGAGTAGAGTAGAATAGAATAGAATAGAATAGAATAGAATAGAATAGAATAGAATAGAATAGAATAGAATAGAATAGAATAGAATAGAATAGAAAATATGGAATGGAATGGAATGGAATAGAAGAGTAGAGTAGGGTAGAGTAGAGTAGAGTAGAGTAGAGTAGAGTAGAGTAGAGTAGAGTAGAGTAGAGTAGAGTAGAGTAGAGTAGAGTAGAGTAGAGTAGAGTAGAATAGAACAGAACAGAACAGGGAATGGAATGGAATGGGATGGGATGGGATGGGATGGGATGGGATGGGATGGGATGGAATGGAATGGAATAGAATAGAATAGAATAGAATAGAATAGAATAGAATAGAATAGAATAGAATAGAAAATATGGAATGGAATGGAAGAGTAGAGTAGGGTAGGGTAGGGTAGGGTAGGGTAGGGTAGAGTAGAGTAGAGTAGAGTAGAGTAGAACAGAACAGGGAATGGAATGGAATGGGATGGGATGGGATGGGATGGAATAGAATGGAATAGAATAGAAAATATGGAATGGAATGGAATGGAAGAATAGAGTAGACTAGAGTAGAGTAGAGTAGAGTAGAATAGAATAGAGAGTAACAGAGTTGGAAGGGACCTTGGAGGTCATCTAGTCCAACCCCTGCTCAGGCGGGAATCCCTATACCATTTCAGACAAATGGCTGTCCAATCTCTTCCACTGGTTAATTGTTCTAACTGTCAAGAAATTTCTCCTTAGTTCTAGGTTGCTTCTCTCCTTGAGTAGTTTCCATCCGTTGCTTCTTGTCCTGCCTTCAGGTGCTGAGCTGAGTTACACAGACTCAGAAGAACCATTAAATTATTCCCAAACAAAAAAAAATTTTTTTTTAAAAAAAACCCAAACCGTTCAGATCCAGAAGTCTTTGAAAACCACCAACACGTTCTGCTTCGGCAAATTATTGTCCTCGTCTAAAAAAGTTATTGTCCTGCTCTAAAGTGGAAACTGAAAGTTGAAGGGCTTAAATATGAAGAACGACGTTGTTAGACCTGACCAGGAGAGACCGAACGAGAAGAAGGCTTTAGGTCATGAGAATGAAAGTTCTCAAGAACATCCAGTGCAATTGAACCCTCTTTGGTCTCAAAACCCGTTCTGCGTTTTACCTTCCCAGTATCATTTAAAAAAAAAAAAAGAAGCTATTTTTGTGTAATCACAACGTTCCAACGCCTGGGATTAACGAGATCTCCTGCGTTTGAAAGAGCACAGACTCTTGGTGAAGTTCCTGCAACGAGGTTTCCAAACGGACGTCCTGCTGGAAATCACGTTTCTTGACCTTCTCACTGGCGCTCTTCTTTCGCGGCGGTCAGCCGTCAGAAAATCCTGCTTCTTCCTACCAAGTTCCCTCCCACCCACCCCCCACCCCCAATTTTCTCCGCTGCCAAGAATAACTACGAATAGACAAAACAAACTTGTCCGGTGTTTGATGAAGTGGATCGAACTCCATAAAAGCTGATGCAATCGTTTTATTTTATTTCATTTATTTTCTGGAAGGGAAACCCTCAAGAAGGCAAGAAGGGTAATTTTAATCTCATGTAGAGTTTAAAGCAAGCTTCTACATGTAGGCAAGAAAAGCCAAATGCACAGGTGTAGTATAGGGGGTACCTTGCTCAATAGTAGTAACTGTGAGAGGGACCTCGGAGTCCTAGTGGACAATCACTTAAATAGGAGCCAACCGTGTGTTGCAGCTGCCCAAAAAGCCAACACAGTGCTAAGCTGCATCAACAAAGGGATAGAATCGAGATCGTGTGAAGGGTTAATACCACTTTACAAGGCCTTGCTAAGGCCACACTTGGAATACGGCATCCAGTTTTGGTCACACGATATAAAAAAGATGTTGAGACTCTGGAAAGAGTGCAGAGAAGAGCAACCAAGATGATTAGGGGACTGAGACTAAAACATATAAAGAACGGTTGCTGGAATTGTGGATGTCTAGTTTAAGGAAGAGAAGGATGAGGGGGGACATGATAGCAGTCTTCCAGTATCTCAGGAGCTGCCCCAAAGAAGAGGGAGTCAAGCTATTCTCCAAAGCACCTGAAGGCAGGACAAGATGCAACGGATGGAAACTAATCAAGGAGAGAAGCAACCTGGAACTTTCTGACAGTGAGAACAATTAACCAGTGGAACTCCTTGCCTCCAGAAGCTGTGAATGCTCTAACACTGGAAGTTTTTAAGAAGAGACTGGACAGCCATTTGTCTGAAATGGTATAGGGTTTCCTGCCTGAGCAGGGGGTTGGACTAGATGACCTCCAACGTCCCTTCCAACTTTATTATTATTATTATTATCGATCATCGCACAGTCAGCCAGATGTTCAGACTGGATTTGGCATTTTGTCTACCTATCGAGTCCTTACCCAGGACCTGGGATAGGCAGATGTGGATGTTTGATGGTATTACAGATATCGTCGCAGGATGGAAGCAGTTCCTAATAAGGCCGCCTTTTGCAATTGACTAATAGCAAATTTGTCAATGCCAATTGTGTTCAAGTGGTGCTCCAGTTGTTTTGGGATTGCACCCAAGGAGCCTATGACTATTGGTACTACCCTTGCTTGCTTTTGCCACAGTCTTTCTATTTCTATTTGTAGGTCTTTGTATTTTGTTGTTGTTGTTGTTGTTGTTGTTGTTGTTGTTATTATTATTATTATTATTATTATTATTATTATTATTATTATTATATTAATTTGGGCTGAAAGACGAGCTTTCGTTTTTACCGGGGACGGTGCCCGACCGGGTTAGATATGTGTGGGAAAAGAGCTAATGTGACATGCTCTCGCTGTAAAAAAAGAAAAAAGAAAAAACATGCAAAAATCTGCAAATTTTATTCCGTCCGTGTAATGCCCTTCACCTTGGTATATACAGCAGTGCATGAAGAACAGGAGAATTTTTAAAAATCAGGAGGAAACGAGAAAGCTTCTCCAGTCCAGATGTTTGTGCTAATGAAGGAAGCGGGAATAAGGAGGGGGGGGGATTTCTCCGGATGAAATGCAGTGCTTTTTAAAAACAACACACACACCCCGATAGAGTTGCAATAGAAATGACCTCCGACAACAAGCTTAAATTAACGAGGCCCCTGGGCCTTAACCCTTGTGACTTGCAGGGGGGGCATTGTATTCGAATCCCATACCGTCGGTTCTTTGATGTAGCTTCCAGAGCAATAGGATCATAATTCCGCTAATGTGCACCGAGGCATTTGTGTGTTGCCTCCACAGCCTGCCACCGTGAGCCACGGGGGGGGGGGGGATGGCAACTTTTAAGACCCGCGGAATTCAGCTCCCGGAATGCCCCAGGCAGCCACAGGAGATGGGGATGGAGTCAGAAGGAAATCAAAATCAGGCGAAGTATTTAATAGTGCTTTACAAAGCCTTAGTAAGGCCACATCTGGAATATTCTGCCTCAGGTTCGGGTGGCTACGTTACAAAAAAGAGGTTGGGAAAAGTGCAAAGAAGAGTAACTAATTTGATGCAAGGCCTGGAGACTCAAACAGACGAAGAATGTTTGCGGGACTGGGGTATGGCCAGTCCAGAGAAAAGAAGGACTGGGGGGGGGGGCATGATAACAGCGTTCCAGTATTTGAGGGGCTTCCACAAAAAAAGGGGGGGGTTCAACTTATTTCCCAAAGGCTTGGGAAACAAATAGTAATAGTAGTAAAGTTGGAAGGGACCTTGGAGGTCATCTACTCCAACCCCCTGCTCAGGCAGGAAACCCTACACCATTTCGGACAAATGGCTGTCCAGTCTCTTCTTAAAAACTTCCAGGGTTGGAGCATTCACCGCTTCTGGAGGCAGGTGGTTCCACCAATTAATTGTTCTAACTGTTCAGGAAGTTTCTCCTTAGTTCTAGGTTGATGATGATAAAGTTGGAAGGGACCTTGGAGGTCATCTAGTCCAGCCCCCTGCTCAGGCAGGAAATCCTATACCATTTCGGACAAATGGCTGTCCAGTCTCTTCTTAAAAACTTCCAGTGTTGGAGCATTTACTGCTTCTGGAGGCAAGCTGTTCCACTGATTAATTGTACTCACTGTCAGGAAGTTTCTCCTTAGTTCCAGGTTGCTTCTCTCCTTGATTAGTTTCCACCCGTTGCTTCTTGTCCTGCCTTCAAGTGCTTTGGAAAATAGCTTAATTCCCTCTTCTTTATGGCAGCTCCTGAGATACTGGAAGACTGCTATCATGTCCCCCCTTGTCCTTCTCTTCGTTAAACTAGACATACCCAATTCTCGCAACCGTTCCTTATATGTTTTAGCCTCCAGTCCCCTAATCATCTTTGTTGCTCTTCTCTGTACTCTTTCTAGAGTCTCAACATCTTTTTTACATCGTGGTGACCAAAACTGGATGCAGTATTCCAAGTGTGGCCTTACCAAGGCATTGAAGAGTGGTATTAATACTTCACGTGATCTTGATTCTATCCCTCTGTTAATGCAGCCTAGCACTGTGTTGGCCTTTTTGGCAGCTGCCGCACACTGCTGGCTCATATTTAAGTGATTGTCTACTAGG